GACTCAGGGCGGCTCACAATAAAAAAAATAAAAAAAAAAACAACAATTTAAAATTCTACAACAGCCGTTACCTCGAATGGGGCTGGATAGTTCAGCAGCCCCACGCTTGCTGGAACAGCCAGGTCTTAACTGCTTTGCGGAAGGCCGGGAGGGTAGTAAGGGTCCGGATCTCCACGGGGAGATCGTTCCAGAGGGCCGGAGCAGCCACAGAGAAGGCCCTGCCCCGAGGAGTCGCCAGCCGACATTGGCCGGCAGATGGAACCCGGAGGAGGCCTAGTGTGTGGGATCTAATGGGTCTTTGGGAGGTGACTGGCAGGAGGCGGACTCTCAGGTACCCAGGTCCGATGCCATGCAGGGCTTTAAAAGTAACGACTAGCACCTTGAAGCGTATCCGGAGACCAATGGGCAGCCATTGGTCCATTTATTTTTTCTTTCCTTTGTCCCCTCTAATTCTTTTCTTTTTTCAATTTTTCAATTCTTTTACATTAAAAGGATGTCATAATAGAACCTGAAATGTTTCCAAAAATATTAAAGAGCATCACCGAAAAGAACGATTGAAAATAATAAAGGAGACTAATCAACTAATCAAGAAACTAATTAAGGAACTAATCAAGGAGGGAAGCAACCGACTGCTAAGGAGGAATTTTCTGACAAGTGAGAACAATTAAGGAGTGGAACAGAGCTTCCCCTCCAGAAGTCGCGGGTGCTCAAACTCTGGAGGTCTTCAAGAAGAGACTGGACAGCCATTTGTCCAGAATGGCATAGCGTCTCCTGCTTGAGCAGGGGGGTGGACTAGAAGACCTCCGAGGTCCCTTCCAACTCTATTATTCTGTTTAAACCTGTTTAAAGGGGTTTAAGGGATAGGGAATAGATTTCATATGGGGGCAGGGTATTTTCATGAACACTGTTTGAAACTGATTTCAAGAACTGGAAAAATACATTCAGCATACTACAAATTTTACCTCCTTTTAAAAATCCCAAACACTACTGCAGATCCCAAGTTACTAATTCCTGCTGCTAATTAACTGAGTCCTGGGCAGGCCTGCAAAAGGAGGGGGGTGGATTCTCCCCCAGAAGTCTGCCAAATTCCTAAAAGATAAGCAGGCAGGTAAATGGGAACAGCGACCCAGGGACACCAAGAAAGGACACCTGTCTTGTCATATACCATCCCCAGGGTCAGCTGGGGTCATCCATCAGCAAGAGAGAAAGAAAGTAATAATATGCCACATTAAAATCCGTGACATGAAATTGCACAGAAGTTACAGCTCTGCCACAGGCGGCCATGGGCTTTTTTTAGAAAAATGACCACTTTAGAGTAGAGCCGAGAACCCACCAGCGATTGACAGCGCTGGAGAAAGTCAGCTGGTGGCTGAACAGGGCTTAGGGAAGAGAGAGAGGAAGGTGACCACATATATCATTTCAGTTGTGAAGCATATAATTTTCCTCCTCCCCGTTCTTATAATTGCTTCCACCCTCCTGAAATTAATGGGGAAAAACATTAGTCATTTCTAAAAAAACAAACACTTCATAGTTTTGCATTTTAAGTCCTCTTAAGTCACGTCTAGAGGAGTAAAATGCAACGTCCACCAGACGCTTCCTTGCCTGTCCTTCACTGAGGATCTTGTGCGTCTGACCACAAAGGCCAGCTCATTCACACGGCTTCACACCACACACCTCCTCCCCCGTTCCTATCAGACCTTGACAGACAACGAAGCAGGAGTGAAAGGACACAGAATTTTTATTGAAACACAACTATTAGGGAAGTTCAGATACGTATGCACCTATTTTTCTTTTATATTTGTGAGATTTCACAAATTCTTTAATTTTTATTTATTTTTTGGCCAGATATGGGTTGTGGTAAGCACATATCCAATTTGTATGTATTTTTCTGGCTCACAATGAATATGAGTACATATATGAATGTATCTTTTTTTTTTTAAAAAAAGAACATTGAGTCTACAACTGCAATTCATCTTTTCTCTCTCCATTTGTTAAAAGTATTGTTTGTGTGTATAGAGAGTCAATCATTTTGCACAACCATCTGCTTGTTCTCCTTTCTGTTTAAAACCTCTGGAGAAAATGAAGGTAGGTGCTAACCATTCCAGTCAGCCAAGACAGGAAACATGGTTTGTGGCTTGGCAACCCAAAGAGACAATATGTCCATGGGACTCAGCACAGACTTGAAGGTAAAAAACAAAGCTTAGT